TCTCCCTCTCCCTCCCTCTCTCTCTCTCTCTTTCCCTCTCACTCTCTCTCTCTCTTTCTCCCTCTCCTTCTCTCTCTCCCTCTCTATGGCTGTCACATTACTAATTAAAAATGTGTTCCTCGAATTCTTGCAGGCTACAACCAACCGGAAGCTACGAGACACAGTCGCTCTGGAGCTGAGCTTTGTCAATTCAAATTTACAGTTGCTCAAGGAGCAGCTGGCCGAGCTGAACTCATCTGTGGAGATCTATCAAAGCGAGAGGTGAGAGGTGTTATAATGATTAACTGCTCCACTGGGCGCGCACTCGCTGCCCTGGCTAAAACCACCTGCGCCCATTTCCCAAATAACTTGTTGCCATTATTTGTCGTTTTGGCCATTTTATTGTAGTAGTAGCAGTAATAGTAGTTGTTGTTGTTGTTTTTGCTGTTGTTGCTTTGCATGCAAATGTTGAAATTTGTTGCTATTTCTTCTTGCTTTTTGTTATGTGAAGTTTAAGCTGTAGCTACTGCCCTCTGTTGGCTGGGATCGGGGTATGCAACAAACTATGGGGCGCTACCCAGCTGGGCAGCTGTAATTTTTGCGCATTAGTTTCTGGTCAAGCGCCTTTTTGCGCCGTCTACTGGAACGAAATCACAGCGCTAAAAAAAAAAGCTCAAAGAGTGTAGAAACAACAACAACAATCAAACAAACAAACAAAATAACAAAGAAAGTGAAAAAGCGTCATTAAATGCACAACTGACAAAAATACAAATATGAAACAAACAAGCCAACAATAGTAAAAAGTATTTCCACCATGGACAGCCAGACAGACGCAAATGAACCGAACTTCACTTGTCTATATAGCTAAAACTTCACATAGCTATAAACTCCATAGAGATTTGGGTTTCCAGGGTTCGTCGCACACGCTAATTGAAGTTGATCAGCTAGTTAAATAGATAGATATATATATTTATATATTTACATACATATACAAAATATGAGGTAATAGCTAGCTCTAACTTATTTTTCGCTCGATTAGCTATTTTCTAGTCTAGCTAAATTGTTAGTTATTTAAGTTAAGATTAATGTAAATTTTAATAAATTTTGTTCACCTTCCCTTTACAGTCAAGAGTATATATAAATAGCCAATTTATTTTTCGCTTGATTAACTAAATTCTAGTCTAGCTAAACTCTTATTTAAGTTAAGATCAATGTTGATTTGTTCATTTTCCGTTTCCATTCATATATATTACAGTCAATCATTATATAACCAGCCAACTTATTTCTCGCTTGATTAGCTAAATTCTAGTCTAGCTAAATTCTCAGTTATTTAAGTTAAGATCGATGTAGATTTGAATACATTTTGTTCATCTTCCATTTCCATTCAAATATATAACAGTCAGTCATTATATAACCAACTCATTTCTCGCCCGATTAGCTAAATTCTAGTCTAGCTAAATTCTCAGTTATTAAACATAAGATCCATTTAATTCAAATTTCAACACATTTTGCTCATCTTCCATTTCCAGTCATGAAGGTATTATGCCCATGATCCCGCTGGGCCTCAAGGAGACAAAGGAGATCAACTTTATGGAACCATTTTCGGACTTCATATTGGAGCACTACAGCGAAGAGCCGTCAATATATATGGATGCCATAGCCGATATGACAGACACCAGACAGGTAAGCGGGACAGCTGATACTGATTATAAATATTCTATATATATATTTATATATATATGTGTGTGTGTGTATATAGGCATCAAAGACGCCCTCACGTGATGGCCTGGGTGTTGCGTTGCTCTTCCGTTACTACAATCTATTGTATTATGTGGAACGGCGCTTCTTTCCGCCCGATCGCAATCTGGGCGTTTACTTCGAATGGTACGACTCGCTGACCGGTGTGCCCTCCTGCCAGCGCACCATTGCCTTCGAGAAGGCCTGCACGCTGTTCAATCTGGGCGCCATTTACACACAGATCGGTGCACGTCACGACAGGCGCACCGAACGGGGCCTGGACGCAGCCGTTGATAGTTTTTTGCGTGCGGCTGGGGTCTTTCGGCACATCTACGATACGTTCACCAATGCACCGTCGATGGACCTGAAGCCGCAGGTACTGGATGTGCTCGTCTCGCTCATGTTGTCCCAGGCACGCGAATGCCTGTTCGAGAAGCTGCAGCTACAGATCGAGGCCCTGGGCCTAACTGAGTCCAGTCATGTAAGTCAAATGGAGATGACGACGTTCGATCTAGAAGCTATAAAAGTCATTCATTGTCTCCCATTTCTATTGCCCAATTACCTAAACGCTGTCCATGCCTTGAGTACGTGACGTATTCGCCATCGGCACTGATAAATGTGGCATATGCCAAAGATTTACTTGAGCTGTGCGCCGTAATTTGACGAGACTTAGCTAATTCTACTTGCGTCACTTACAGCTCTTTCGGGACTTGGCCGGCGAGGCGGCACAGCTGTCGCTGGAGTACAATGAAATGCATAAGAATATCCAAGTGAACGACACCCACACCTATTTGCCGGAGTGCTGGGCGGGTCTGGTGCCGCTCAAGGCCGAGCTGTACAAAGGTAAGTGGGAATGATGATTGGCCTTGCTATTGATATTGGCATTTGGCCAACAACAATTTGTTGGTAGACGGAATAGTAACAATAACATTGCAACTACATCCATTTAGCTTTGGCACATCATTACGAGGCGCGGAGCATTGATACCACTGTGGGCGACGCCGACAACGTCTCGTTGGGCACCAAAAAGAGTCAGGCGGCATCGTCGAACGAATCGTTCATTGGCAATGCGCGGGAGGCACTGCGTGCCACCGAGGCGCACAGCGTTTGCGAGGAGGAGACCGTCAGCGCAGCTGCCATCAAGCGCACCCACTTGAAAGAAGCTCTGGCTAGTCACGAGGAGGCGCAGCGCTTGCAGCGCATGTGCCGCTACCTGAAGGTGAGTGAGTCATTCAATCATTCAGTGGCATCAGGTTGACGACCCACTGCATCGTCAATTTGCAGAACAAAACATCGCTGACGCAGGTCATCAAGGAGGCGTACTACAAGACCCAGGACGAATATGAACGATTCTGCCTTCAGGCGCCGGTCAAGAACATAGATGAGTGCTACGATCTAACCGAGCGAGTTGTGGAAGGTGAGCCCCAAATATTTTGGACTAGATTTGATTGATATAGATTATAATATACGTGTATTTGATTGCCCCGCAGCTTCCTCGAAGTTCACGCTGACGTTGACGGGTCCGGACTTTACGTCGTACAAAGTGGAGGATCCGTTCAAGCGGCTCGGCCCCATTGCAATATTCTCCGCACGCCGCCACTGGACAGCGCCGCGCTGTGTTCGCCTGCAGAAGGGCTCGGCCATATATCATGATGCGAGCAGCTATCATTGCCACTGTCCCAGGGGCGACGAGAGTCACGAGGCCGGCTGCAGCCTGTACAAGGAGGAGCTAGAGAATTTCGGATTTCATGTGCGTGGCGATGCGCCCGTCATAATAGCACATGTCGAGATCAATTCATTGGCCGATGTTAGTATTGAGACAAGCTGCCTGAAGCACTTAGCACTCACTTCTCTTGTATTCCCCATTGCAGTTGGGCGGCATCAAGGAGGGCGATTTTATTGTAGAAATCGCCGGCATGGATGTCAAATGGTATTCGCATCAGCAGGTCGTACGGCTCATACAATCCTGTGGCACTACACTGGAACTCAAGGTCATTACGCCCATGGATCGCAATTATCTAAAGGTAAAGGAAACGTGCAATTCGATTGAAGTTTCATATATGAATAATTACGATTCGATTGCAGCCACTCTCGTCAAAAGGCTCCATATCAACGTTATCGGCTGCCAGCTCATCGGGCGTTTCGTCCGGCTCATCTAGCCCCACCAGCACCACCACAAAGCCCAAGCTGCGGCTCAAGAACTCGGCCAAGACGCGCTTTGTGGGCAGCGTGTCGTCCAGCTCGTGGAATCCCTTTCGACGTACGCCGAGTCTGGCGAAGATATTTTAAGGGCTCTTTGACAGTTAGCTCTAGGGATTGCTGATAGTTTAAGTTATGCTTTAATTTCCGCAGCAGTGGCCATTATTTTGCTTGAATGCAAATTGGATTTTTTTTCACACACACACACACCCACACACTCACATATATATGTATATATATGTATATGTGTATATATATATATGTATTCTTATATGTGCTAAGCCAAGTCTTTATTGAACCCATATGCTTTGCTCTGGATGAGCCCCAACACATAATTCCATTTATTTTCCGACAACATGGAAAATATCTGTGAGAATGTGAATGAATCATGCATTGATAACGGTACTCGATATGTTTGATCATAGTATATAAATGCAATAATCCATGCTGAATCGAAGAATTCAGTACCTAACATTTTGTGCAAAATGGTGTATAACACTTGAAACAGACGGAGATAGCGCGAGAGATGGAAAGAAAGGAAGAAAATGTGCCGCAAAACACCCCCAAAAAAATATAAAATAAAATGCAAAATTTGAATTATTTACATGAATTCGTACATCACGATATGACCATATGTGTTACATGCTATCCATATATATGCCTATTATATTTAATATTCTTTCGAACTTCCAACTGAAATTGATTAATATTGAAATTGAGTCGACGTCGAGCTACTTTAACGCACATTTCCAATGTATATATGTATATTTATATTAAGTCACAATTATTTTGTATACATTTTGTAAAAGCCATTTTATACAACCAATACAGAGATACACAGAAACAAACACACACACACATACATACATATTAAATAAGCAAGTACATATGTATTCCATTGCATTGATAAAATATTTATTAATAAATTTTTTTTGTGTATGCATGTTTACAAAATATATTTTTATAGATACATTTATCAATCAAAACGTTCAGCATATTTGCAGATTTTTTTTTTTTTTGAGGATTCTTCTATGAACCATATATCGGGATTTCTGTCAATTTCGATTGTTTAACACATAACTAGAAATTTGGTTGTTGTTGTTGTTGTGGTTGTTGTTGATTAGCCAATATTGATAAGAACAGTAAAATTTACTTGTGCATCTTCTGCAACATTTCACGCACCAGCTTTGGAATGCTGTCCAGCTCCTTGGCCAGAAACATTTGCTCAGACAAATTGGTGCGATAAATGCGCTGAACGCGACGAATCATTGGGGCTGTAATATGGGTATCGATCAGGTCTTGTGGTGTAAGGTTCAACAATTTCATCAGGTGTGGTCCGTGACGTAGAGCAGCACGGATCTTTTCCTCATCCGGTGACAAACGGGATGACGCGAGTTCCTCCTGCTCAGACAGAGACTGATACTGATATTGATACTTAGATTGAGACTGTGACTGAGACTGAGACTGCGACTGCGACTGAGACTGAGACTGAGACTGAGACTGAGATGGACTGGCTGTGCCCAGTGATGACGAATGATGGCGCTCCTTTGCGCAGCTAGCTTTTGACGACTCGGAGCGGCGGCTGCCCGAAGTCGACTGTGTTGATTCACTGGGTGTGGTTGTTGCATATAGATCGAACAATTTGCCCATATCATCGTCAACCGAACCCACCAACGAGGATGATGTAGTATTCGATGTGGAATTTTCCTCGCGTAGGCTCTTATAGTAAAGGAGATCGTTGACAATCTTATCGCGCAGATCGTCACCATCATCACTTGCCTCCTTGGCACGTCTGGCATTGTAGCTAGCCAATTGGCACCCCTTGCTGGCATGGCGTCCGTGGCATTGCTTCGACTGTGAATGGGCTGCTTTCGATGACTTGCAAGTATGCATCTGGCTCGATGATTTCGTCTCAGTTGCCTCCAGCTGGCTGGCACTCGACATTGTCTCTTGTCCAATGCTGCATGAAGTCTTGCGACCCTTCGCAGCCAGCCTGGCAGCGTATGCTCCTTGCAGATCCAGTTCAACGGGTGTGAATAGGATCTGTTTGCGAAGTTTCTGGGAAATTTGATGTTTTGCTACTGGAACAGCAAAAGAATTTTGCTCCGAAGCGCTTGGCGATGATATGTCAGACATGTAAGGAAGTGAAGTCTCGGTGGCTACGTTGCGGAAGCTCTGCTGCGGCTTCATCTTGCGTAGATCAATCGTACCGCAAGGCTCAGTGGCTGCTGGAGAGACGCAGCCCTGATCCGGAAAATCATACTTGTGCTTGCTTAGCTTTTGCAATGAGCTCTCACTGACTGGCGATTGCAGCTCCTTGACCACCCTCGACTTCAACTTACGGCTGCTCGATTGCACGTAATAGTCCATTGATATCTCTTTGTTGATTGACTGTGAGTAACGCGATGGCTGCCCGTCATAGCGTGGCTTCGGCTCTTTGACTGACAGCTGCTCCAACAGCACCAGCTGGCGCAGCTCCTTGGATGACTTGGACGATAGCCGATTAGCTGGTGACGGCATATCCATGGTAAGGCCCGTCTCATCAGTACACCCAGAGGACAGGTCCAGTTGATCTTCAGTCTGCAGCGGGCTATATGTGCCATTGCTTTGACTTTCAGAAGATTCAATCGAAGAACCGAATTCCCTGCTGCAGCGAGGGCAAGCGAACATCAAAGTCTGTGTGGACTTCTCGCAGTCAGGGAGCTTCTTGTATTGATTGTAGTATTTTGGAGACTCCGACAACGACGTGGAGAACGACTGTGATAGCGATTGTGAGTTGAAGTCGATTTGATCACTAAAAACACTCTCATCGGTTGACTCCACGCCAAGTCCAGCCATATTTTGGCAGCTAAGCCGCTCCTTGCAGCTGTGCCGCGATTTCTTCTACAAAGTATGTGATTGTATGAAGGAAAACAAAAAAGCTTCGTCACTTACCTGTTGGGAATAATACGACTTTTTCATGATGAACTTCAATTTGCTTGCATCAATAAATAACTATTTTTTCTTTTGTGAATTTTTTTTTTTCCAATTGAATTGGTTGACAACTTTGGCACGATCTTACGATTTTGCGAGAAAATGTTAACGTTTATAATATATATAAATATATATAAAAATAAAAATTCACTTTTGAAATTGTATTATTTGGTTTATGAAATTTTTCTTTGTATTTTTGGAAATTTAAAATTTTATATTCGTCCTGCTCGTTAGACTGCGTAACAGAGACTGAATATTTTTTCTTATGAGCTCACAGAGCAGATCAAAATCAACGAAAAACTTTTCTCGGCTGACTAGATTCGAATTTAATGACAGCAATATATGAGTACAACAAATATTATTGCATACTTTCGAGCAAAACTTTTGGAGGATACTAAGGCAACTAGATTAAAAAAAAAAAAAAAACAAGTGTCAGAATTTTACGGAACAAAATTGGGGAGGAGAAAAGAATAAAGAAAAAGCTGTTACGAAAATCGAACCGTAATTTTAGCTGAAGAAGCGGACTTCCTGAAGTAAGTTATATATAATTCTTATTTATTTTTTTTAAATTTGGTTTTATTGCAGCTTTTGTCGTAAACTCTATAGCGCATTTATGATATATAAATTTATTATAATATCAAAAATATTATAATAAAAAAAAACATATACACATATAATTTTATAAAGTTATAATAAATTTGTATTTGAATAAATTAACATAATAAAAAATACAGAAAATAAGAAAAATATATATATATATATATTTATATTAAAATTCAAGTTTAAAATCCAGAGTTAAGAAGATCTGCGAAAGAAGAAGCCGGATTTAAACTAAGTTTAGAGTTATTTAAAAGCCCAAAAAACGTAAAGACTCCTATTTACAACTAATTGTAATAAATGCAATTAAACAAAAATTATTATATTAAATAAAGAAACAAGCAACGAAATCATGTGAAACATTCAACTAAAAGGAAATATTTTTAGCTTTATAGATATTAAGATTTGTAATACATACAAAATATATGTTCTATATAAAATATTTGTATAAAAAAAAAATAAAATAAGAAAACATGTATATACTATATATAAACATGTTCTATCTATACAAATATGTATAGAAAAGCTTCAATAAATTTTTAATTAATATACCAAATTTAAATATAATATAATAATATAATAGAATTAATATAATAAACATTATTAGGAATAAATTCTTAGTAGTTCTGTTCGCTCTTGAATTTTCACAAAGTTATGCTTCAAGTCAAGATTTAGGAACTTGTATCGGCTTTACTTATCAAAATGAAGGTATTTATGCATATGCTGAATCAATTACATTAGTATATGTGCTTAGAAATTATAAATACTTGAACAGACATGCTGAACGCTATGTGAAAGGCAGTGCGAATGTTTTAAGCAGCTGTTGGGCAAAATATTTAAGACGCGCTTCAGTCAAGCACTTCGGGCCCTTGCTTAGGTCTAATTGAACAGTTGGAACAAATGGTAGCTATATTTACGAATTTAAATCAATTACGTCCATCAAACAAGACTTTAAATTAAATAAAAAAAAACTCTAAGCATAACTTAAATGTAGCTGTAAATGATTTTTTCCTAAAGTAAGTAAATTTAAGAACAGCAAGTGGATGTGCCTTGAGTTTACTATGAAGCACTGATAGGCCTGGGAGAGCAATCTCTCTCTCTCTCTCGCTCTCTCTCTCTCTATTTCCCTCCCTCTCTAGCATCTCTTACAGCAAGTAGCCGACGATATCGTCATCGTCTTCCGTGTTATCGTTGCCCGAAATTTGCCGGCGCAGCTCGCAGCGACCCAGCGCCTCCAGGTACGGCTGCAGCACCGACATCGAGCGTCACTGGTGGTGCTGGTGCTGGTGCCTGTGCAGGGGCGATGGCGTCGCATGCAGGTTGGCCGCATGCTGGGCGGACGAGTTCAGAAATGGTGTGAGCAGCTCTATGGGCAGTGGGAATATGATGGTCGAGTTCTTTTCCGCCGAGATGCTGCTCAGCGTTTGCAAGTAGCGCAGCTGCAGAGCCGACGGACTGGACGATATGATCTCGGAGGCTTCTTTGAGAGCACGCGACGATTTCATCTCACCCTCGGCGGCAATCACCTTGGCGCGTGCCTCACGCGCAGCCTCCGCCTCGGCGGCCATGGCGCGTTGCAGTGCCGTTGGCAGCGAGACATCCTTGCTGCGATATATGGGGAGAGAAACCACTGAGATTACACCAGCGAACTACATTGCATTCCATGCGACTCACATTTCAACTCGTTCCACCTTGACGCCCCAAGGGTCGGTGGCCTCGTCCAGGGACATTTGCATCGTATGCGAGATGGTCTCGCGCTCGGTGAGCAGCTCCGACAGGTTGCGAGTGCCCAGCACGTTGCGCAGCGTGGTGGCAGCCAGGAGGCGTGTGGAGTGGCTGTAGTTGGAGACCTGAATAACGGCCTTCAGTGGATCACTGATGCGATAGTAGACCACTGCATCGACTGTCACCGTCACCGAATCCTTGGAGAGCACCTCCTGCGGCGGCACATCGAACGAGACGGTGCGCAGATCCACCGGATAATAGTCGTCCACGCAGGGCAGCACGAAGAAGACGCCCGGACCGCGCGCCCCACCGCTGCGCAGTCGGCCCATGCGAAAGATGACCGCACGCTCGTACTCGGAGACCACCTTGAAGCAAATGAAGACCGAGAAGGGAAACGTCAGCACCATGATCAGCACCGATATGGCCGTGGCCAGCAGCTCCACGCAGCCCATCTCCTCATTTTCAGCTGCAAGACGAGAGGAAGAAAATAGAAAAAACCAAATCAAACGGAGCCACGGAATGCGTAACATTAATCGCCGCATTTCACAAGCAATTGAAAGTCAATTGAAGACACATTTCATGACGTGCTCGCATGTTGTGTGCTTGGTGGTGGGTGGTGGGTGGGGGCGTGTGGGGCGTGTGGCGGTGGTGCGCTGCCGTCTGCCACATGTGCATTGTGGCACTTGTTGCTCGTGTTGCTAAAACCGCAAATGTTTTCACCATGCTGCCTCGGATTTCCGTTTGTAGTTCCACTGAACACAGACAGCCGGACTGTTTTTCATTAGAAATGGACACAGAGACTGGCCACAAACAGAGATCACACGAAATCAGTCAAAGCACTTGGCGTACATTTAATCATAAAACATGGCTAAATATTTATTCTACTACTGCCCAGACAGACTCTAGGGGTAATCGATATGTTATACCATTATTCTTGTAATTGTGTGAATATGAATGTCTATGATGATTGTTGATAATGCTATGGCTATGACTCGATCAATTCAAGTAAGTTGAGGATTCTGTAAAATGAAATAATTTAATACTTTGACATTATTGAAGTATGAATCAAAGTATACATAGAGTCAAAAAGAAATTTTTTAGAGATTTCCTTTTTATATCTATTTTAAAATATGTTCAATATGCCATTTTTTTTTTCTTTTTTTTTAATTCTGTAATGTTGAGTTTTAAAAACTTTAGTATTTCTTTTGGAATCAATAGGAATTTCAAGAGTAAAAGAAGATTTCAAGTGCAGCTTCATTTATATTGCGTTAGCAAAATAAGATAGATATAATAAAAAAAAAATATTATATTAAATATAAATTATAAAATATAAAATAAATTAACTATGTATTTTTAAATAAATAATATAAATAAAAATATTGAAATTAATAAAAACATTTCCATTATATTACGCCAGCAAGATAAGGTAGAGATTTAAAAAAATTATTATATTAAAAATAAATTATAAAATACAAAACAAATTAAATATTAATATACAAATAATTCTAGATCTTTCAAATAAATGATATAAATAAAAATATTAAAATTAATAAAAAATATATATCAATTATTGTGCGCTAGCAAGATAAAGTAAAGTTTTAAAATAAAATATAATTAATATGAATTATAAAATGTAAAATGAATAAAAAATAAATATAAATATTTTAAATTAATAATATATATATAAAAAAAAAAAATAATTGAAAAAAAATGTATGTACAAAGATAAATAAATATTAAGTTATAAATTGCATCTGCTTACTGTCCTAATGATAAATTCTATAGTAACTCCTAGTCTGGTAAAGATTTATAGGTATAGAACCATATAAATAATAAAGTGAAATGCATATAATCTATCCCTATATGAGCCATATAAGTAAAAGTTTTATAGCCTCAAGTATAATGGAATCTTTAAAGTATAAATACAGATCGGACTAGATTAAATATGAGAACCTGTACTATATTAAGCCTAATTGCATTTCAAATGAAGAGTACAATCTATCCATATACATATCTGCCATAAAAGTGAAGTTTTACGGTCTGTAAGTAAAATGGAACGAAAGCAATTGTTTTTGATCTCAAAGATCTTCCATACGGCTGCGATCTATCAGCTCGCTATTGTCTAACTACATAAGTAGGTATTTGTTTATTGTTAAATTAGCCATACATATACATATAGACATTTATATATATAGAATGGTAATTGCATGGATTGTTTATGTTTTAGTATAGAGATTTCAACGAGTGCGGGCAGGTTGAACTAATACCAATCCAGGGCAGGGCAGAGCAGAGCAGACCAAGGCAAAGCAAAGCTAAACAATCGCCTGGCCAATTGGAACATTTATGGAATGTTTATGTAGTACGAGTACATGTTGGCCAAAAAGAAAAGAAATAGGAACAAGATTCAGTCTATAGTTGGGTAGCACGGTTATTTTCAGTTTGAGCAGCCTTTCTTTTTTTTTTTTTTTGTTGTTTTTTTTTTTTTTTTTTTTGTTTATCTTTTATGTTTCGACAATACGATTTATATCCCGTATCCGTATGCGAATCAAATCGTTGCCTCACGTCACATCACGTCACGTCATGTTGCGTCGCGTCTCGTCAATCTTGGCTGTTATTTATTTTTACTTGTCGGCGCACAGTTTATATTGCATACTTCATAGGTGGTCGACGCTCGATCTCGGCTGATCGATAGATACAATTCAATATATGTGTATACAATATCATCGACATGGAATGATTCATTTTCACCTACGGCCAGAAGCCAAATTGACTGAATTATGTTTTGTTCGAGCGCATAAATATGAATTTATGAGATCGTGAAACGAAAACTATTTGTATATTTTATAGTTCTACACACACAAACACAGTTCAGTTCAGTTCAGTTCAGTTTATGAACCAAATATGCAATGGGAAATGCGGCCAAATATTGAAAAACAATTTGTAACTAGTAAACGAAAAAAGTTGAAACTTGTTTATGGGGAATTTAGAGTAGTTAGAGGAAAATTTGTTCCTTCTTCTCAGATTTCCCTTTCAAGCGAAAGTTTTGGTAGTTTGCTGGCTTGTTGCTTACAGGTTTTCAGTCCCTGATAGGGATGTGTGCTGGAGCTGATCTGAACCGTGTGCTGATGCTGCTGCTGCTGCTGCTGTTGTTGCTGCTGTGGGGCAAGCGAGGTCTGGCCGGCGACTGCTCCGGGCGGATTGAGACGCGAGCGATGCTGATGCGGCGATGCAGGATGCATGATGATGATGCTGCTGCTCCTCCTTGGCTAAAGATCAGTATCGTTCAAATGGCGCACGATGAGCACTGCACGCGTCTAGCGCACGTTTCCAATTGAGCAGCGGGCCGCAAGTCTCAAGCGTCGAAGCAGTTGTTCGGCTCATTTCACACGTTGCTGTTTACGGCGCCTCCGTTCCGTTCCGTGCCGTGCCGTGCCGTTCAACCATCCGGCCAAAGCATCTCTCTGTATACACACACACACACACCCGCAGCCATAGTTGTTTGTATTTCTTTCTGTTTTTTTTTTTTAAATACATATATATTTTTTCTTCTCTGTGTGTTGTTTAGATTATTAGAAACGAACGAACTACAGAAATCTTTATGGAGAATATGGAGATAATTTATAAACCACTTCAGCTAACAAAATGCTGATGCGGCTATGCACGTTGTTGGGCATTTGTCTTAATCAAGCAGGGAGCAGCCGCTGGTGATCTATTAGCGACAAAAGGTCAAACGGTTTACAACATTTCACACACAAATGTGTCGCACGCAATGCGAAGCGACGAGCGCTTCCTCTCCCATTTCGTTCCAATTTATGATCCTGAGAGATGTTGATTTATATTTATTATATGAGAGATCAAAAAGATCTCTGTGGAATAATATATATGAGGGAAATAAAATTATTCATAAATTTGAATACGAAATAAATTAAATTTAAATATTTATAAATTTAATTTGTCTCATGTTAAGGAAATAGCTGAACAGGACTCGGCCTACCAGTGCCTATCACTCTGTCTCTCTCTCTCTCTCTCTCTCTTTCTTTGTCTCTCTTTCCCTTTCACACTCTCAAGCATTTGTGCTTAATGCTTGTTCACAAAGTGAAGTTTGGGCCATATACCTTTTGCTTAGCTAGTTAGCCCTAATAGCAGAGCCCCTAGGGGCGTAGCAAACCAGGCATAAGTATATCCCTCTCTCACAGCTATGGCTAAAAGCATCTGGTTTGCCAGTTGGATTAATATTGTCTTTCCTTTTAGTATCATGGCTATCAGTAGCGCCTTTCTTTGTAATTCTCATTGCACATGTCTGTTTAAGCAGCTGCATCTATTTGATATCATAGCAGGTCTGTAGCTCGCACTTCCTTGAATTTATGGGAATCACACAGACAGGCGCTCCGGTCTGATAAATGCGTGAACTAAATATTCCAATAAATGAAACTTGAAATGAATGTTTCGAGTTAAATGATAATCATTTGGTTTAATAGTAACATATAATTGATATATCTATAACAAATTGCAGTTGTTTTATTTTCTTTTGTCGACTTCTAATAGCCAATAAGTAATATCTGATATAGGCAATAGCTCGTTTGAAGATTATTTTTTTCGTGTTTTGGCACAGTGCGTGTTATTTTCGCAGAATTTGTGCGAACGCTGAGCAAAAGCGTTTCACAGTTGTTGTATACAATTTGTGTGGTTGTTGTTGTTGTTTTTGTTGTTGGGCTCTCGATTCGTGTTACGCATGTTTCATGCTGCCAGAAGGCAAATTGACTCAAGGTTCTACTTTATTATTATTGGTTACACTGCATTTGCTTTATTGTAATAGTTTCGTTTATAACAAATTATTATGCAATAAATGCGCGCATTGTTTTTGTTTTCTTTCCATATTGTTTATCTTTATACAGCTGGCTAAATCCAAATCTGCTTGGTTTTTAATGGTTCGTAGATCAATTACTTTGCCAGATCTGAAAGTCTATAAGATATTATTACCGAACAGATAGATATTTATATATATATATATATATATATGATACAGCATTATTATGAGCTGTAAGGCACACTTTGGTTATATATAAAATACATATACATATGTATATATATATAAATGGCTTACAATAATTTTTGTATAGTATAATTTATGATTGATTGCTAATTGCGCCTTAAGTATTGAAATATTCCGTCTACAACTTTGTTGCATAGTTTAAAGGTAGTATAAACGTATAACTATATACGGAGACATCCACTCACATATCTATATTTCTATAAATGTACATTGACTGATATTCGAAAATGCAGAAATTAAATGTGAAGCTATTAATCAAATGCTGGCAATATTTTCATTCAGTGAGTTTTTAACATTTTAATTTTTGTTTTGCTTTGCGCTACGCTTGAATCTTATCAACATATTCGATTTGGCCGCTGGGTATATACTATATATGTGTATATATATTCTTGGAAATTACTCTTACACACACACACACACACACACATACACAAACAACAGCTATACAAATATTCTCAATGTTTTAATTGACTGAGCAATGTGTGTGTGTGTGTGTGTGTGTGAGAGTGTATATATTTAGTCTGTGCCGCTGCTCCGCTATAACATGCGCCTCGTATCAATCGCTTTCTCTCTATCTCTCTCTCGCCCACAGTGTGGCTCTCGCTCATTGTTTCTTTTTTTTTTGCATTCCATGCAGAAATCAAATAATAAGAATAATAATGATAATAATAATAATATCTTAACAACTAATAATCTTTCCAATTATTTGCTGTGCTTTATCAAATTCGTTTGCGCTACGGCAGCTGCGTGGCACCTCCACCGCCGTCACTTGCAGCCAGCTCCTGCTGCTGCTGCTGCTGCTGATGGCGCCTTCGTCAATCGTTGTACATGCCGTCGACCAGGAAGTCCATGCGTCTGTAGTGACGCGTTGTCCATAGATCACGGAAGCGCCTGTAGCCCATAATGAATACGGCTATGGCCAGCGGCACAGCCAGCATAACGGTTACGATGGGCACAATGTATTCGTTTTCGCCACGATTCACCAGGCTGCTGCTCATCTGCTGCACGGGCAAGACATGCGGTGCGCCGCTGCCACCGTTGAGAGCACTCATATCCAATTTCTCACCCTCAATTTGTTTCGCCATGCTGCTGGTGACGGTTGGCTTTTTGGGACGAGCTGTGGTTGTGGTTGTGGTGCTTGGAGTAGTTGTGGTCGTAGTCGTGGATGTGCTTGTTGTTGTGGTTGTAGTAGTAGTTGTTGATGAAGTAGAAGTTGTTGATGTTGGCGTGGCGGCGATGCTGCTGTTGTTACTGCTGCCGCTGCTACTATTTGTGGCTGTGCCATTGATAACAGCTGCTGTTGTTGTATTGATAGTTACGGTGGTGCCGCTGCTGCTGCTGCTATTGCTATTACTATTATTGTTCTTGCTTTCATTGCCATTGCCGTTGCCGTTGCCGTTGTTCTTCTTGATGTCACTCAGCGATACGCCATCGGCCACTATTTTGTCCGTCTTGACCGTAGATTTGGTTTGTTTAGTTATCGGCGTTATTGTTGTCGTTGTTGTTGTTGTAGTCGATGCTTTCGTTGATTGCGGCTCTGGTGTGGCCGCTGGTAGCTTCACTACGGTAGACTGATCCGCCGTGGCGTTGACCTTGACCGGCTTGTTGACTGGGGCTATATCTGTCAAGATTTATGGCAGGCATTTATGTATGTATATCAATATTATATAAATTGTATATCTTAGAACTCGAATACACATACCTGATGATGATGCGTTAGCACTTTTAGCTTCGTTCAAAGTTGTTGCATTATTGGTGATATTGTTTGGGCCGACCGTGGGTAGTTTGGTTGCATTGGAACTAGCTGGAGTCCCAATTGCTGTTTGATCCGCTTGGGCCAACGGTACGGAGGTTAGCTGCTGCATTAGCAGGAGTAAAAGCACCGGAAGCACGTTCATTTTTCACTATGATGCAGTCGCGTGAAATGTGCTGCAGTTGCTAAATTTGGCAGCGAATTGCCTTTTGCTTTTATTTGGAATATCTCTCAATAGTGATGCACAACAGTTCGATGACTGGTATCGATATGAATGAATGCGACAAGTGTATTTGAGAAGTATACGATAGGTATATCACGTCCCATCCCTCGATTGCCAATCCAAGTCGTGTATTCAGAAACAATAGATGTCATTTAGAATTTATAACTAATTGAGATATAATTCTGTGCCATATTTTGAACTTTCTTTCTTTATTTTTCGTATACAACCAAAGCCACAAAAAATGAATAAAATGAACATTGCTCTCATTGCAGTTAGCTGCTCACTTGCAAAAGCTGCTTTATTTTTCACTGGCCGAGTATAAATCGTATAACAAATACTATCGATGTGTGCGGTTGGTGTTATCGAAGGGAAAACGTTAATTTAAATAAATTAATTAATTGGCAATTTCAACAGAAAAACAATTTGAGTCAATATTAATATGAATGTATATTTATAACGTACTCTGTATAATTTCTATAATTATTTTGTATTTTACGGTTTATCTCTTTTGAATGGTGTTTTTTTTTTTTTTTTTGCTAATTTTATTTAATTCTGTTCTGATTCTTTTTGTATGCATTTTGCCTAGGACTAGCTTTAGTTAGTTAATTCATTTACTGAACAGCATAAAATGTAACTTTTTTTGTTTTTGTTTTTTTGTTTGACTTTGTACGCTAAACAACATTATTGCACATATTAGGATTAGAGCATAGCGAGAAGCTATGCGTTAAAAGAAAGCAGTTGAATGATTTCGTTCAGCTCCTGCCGATCCACCTCACAGTGGATTCAATGATGTCAAGTGATATGTACGCCTCTTACTAATTGCTTGGGAAATGGTTTATGCAGCAGCTCCGGATTTTTTTAACTATGGTAGCTCAGGCTTAAAATAATAAAGCAGCTCGTTGCTGTTGCTGCAAGCTAGTTGGTGTTGTTGTTGCTGCCGATGATCGGGTTGTAATTGCTGCCGCCGTTGGTGACTTTAATTCCTCCACAATGATGACGCCGTGCTCATCAACCATGTGATTCAATAGCAAATTCTCAACCTGTTCATCGGATAGTAATTCTTTGGGTTCTGAGGATCTGTAAAGTAGTTGTTGTTGTAATTGTGTAACACCAAAAACAGAGATAGCCAAAGACAACAGATTAAAGTAGGCGCAAATGTGATGGGGAAAGAGACAAGAGAGTGTGCGAAAGAGAAAGCGAGATAGTGAGAAAGATGTACAGATAGAGAGAGAAGATTGGCAAAATTTTAAGCTGAATGGATGCATGAAAATTTATGCTTAATGAAATCTTGTGAATCGAATCGAAAAAAAAGGAAATATTACGTGTTCACATTGATAAGTGTATTTGGTTTCTCGAAATAACTTTATGCTCATTCACTTCAGATGAAAAATGAAAATTTAAATGAATAGTGAATGCTGCAAATATTTAGTTGTATAAATTGAAATGTAAATAATATAATTTGAAAGATGTATATTGAAAATTTATCATATTTCATATTACAATTAAAAAAATAAAATGAAATTAAATAAAAATGAAAATAAATAAATGAAAAAAATAAATTTAAGAAAAAATATAAATGATTTTTAAAAAATATTTTTTAACTATATTATGAATTATTATTTATTCTTAATTAATTCATAATTCAATTTGTATTTATCTAAATTAAAAAATTGAAATTAAGCTGAATTTCAAAATATGTATTGCAAATTAAGACTAATAAAAGTTATTTCATGATGCCAAAACACTCCGATATACACAGATATACACTCTCATATACACACTCCCATACAGACGCATGCATACACTCACACACCCACTCACACATACAGTATTTAGCTACACACATACACACAAAAACAAAAAAAGTATTCGGAGTACATACAAATTTGTTAAAAGTAGATTTTTGACTTTGGTTTTTAGTTTGTTTTTTTTTTTTTTGAGAAGCGTGCGTGCGTGCAATGCGGTTAGTTGATTGTTATTGTAGTAGTAGTAGTAGTAGTAGTATTTGTTGTTGTTGTTGGTTGGTTGATTGATTGATTGATTGATTGTTGTTATTACTGTAGTTGTTGTTGTTGTTTTTGTGGTTGTTGTAATCGAATTTGTGTGTTGAAAGAGCAAATATACCAAATTAAAGCAGCCAATTCGTTACTTTTTGTTATCGAGCATTTAGGAATTTAGTTAATTGCAGTAGCTGATTATTATTAGTTCTTGCAGTAGTTGAAGCATTTGGGAGTTTTGTTTTTTTAGTTTTAGTTTTTTGTTTTTTTTTTTTTTTTTTAAATTAATTTTTTGAGTGAGTGCAGTTTGAATTTGGAATAGCAGTTTGGCGGTAAATCGGTTTATCGTTTATCGATCTGTTTGATTTCTTGTCCGATTTGATCAAATGAGCTTTGTCAGGCGATTCTGCAGCGTGCAGAGTAGGCTGCTGCCAACGCCGACGTTGACGCCGGCGGCGCTGCGTCCGCTGCCATCTACTGACCTGCTAAACAAAAAGAAATCGCCGGCACCGCCGCTGCTGCTGCCGCTGCCGCTGCTATTGTTGCTGCACGCCGAGGCATTCGCTGCCGCTGCCGTCGCTGTCGTCGTCGTTGTAGCTGCACCGGCTGCCGCGGCTGTTGCTGTGGCAGCCAGCAGTGCATCCGTCTCGCCGCCATCGTTGGCCATTTCCGATTCACTATTGCGCCGCTCCAGACTGCGGCCGACCTTCTGAAAGCCGTAGCTAAACACATCCTTCACCTTGTCGCCGGCATCGATCAACAGATCCAGACTCTGCCGTCGTCCGCTGCTCTTGAAGCTATTCGAACGCGACAGCCACTGGCTGAGGCTCTGTTTGCGGCTCATCTGTTGGCCGGCCAGGCCGATGCCGATGCCAATGCCGCTGCTATCGTCCTGGAATATCGTCGTGCAGGTCACTTTGCGCTTGGGCTCGTCCGACGACGACGTGGAGTGCTGCGACTGGGCATCCGCATCCAGGCCGCCCAGGCCATAGCCCAAACCGTGGCCGCCCAGGCTGCCGGCGCCATCCAGAGCCTGTTGCTCCAGCAGCGACTGATTCGAATAGCTCGAACTGGTGCTGTCCGAGTGCGAGAGCCGTATTTCCGTCCACTGATCGATGTCGTTGTCCGCCGGCGGGGCCGACGTCGATGCCGAAGCCGAGGCCGAGGCCAGCGAGCTGCTGCCCGACTCCGAGCGCGGCTTCACCTCGTACGGGCCGTGCAGACCCTGCGCCTGGGCGAACAGATTATTGTCGCCATCCGTGGCGCTGGTGCTGGCCGACTTGTGCATGCCGCCGGCCAGCTTCTGTGGGAAGGTCAACACCGTCTCGAAGTCGTGCAGCAGATGCGGACAGTCGTGCGGATCGGGATGCCTCTGGCGCGGCGAACTGGCGCCGCTTCCCAGCCGATCGGGCATGCGTAAGTACTCCTCCTCCGGCTCATCCAGCTGCAGCTGCTCCGACTCCGACTGGAGCTGCTGCTGCTGCTGCTGCTGCTGTGACTGCTGCTGGGAATCGATGGCATCCACCTGGCGCAGCATTGCCTCGTAGTTAAGCAAATTGTTGCGCTGCTGCCGCTGCCTGTGTATATCCTCTGAGATCTGCTCCAGATTCTTCAGGGCCTCGTTGTAGGTCAGCTTGGCGGCGCTGACCTTAGCCTCCAGCTCGTTGACGCGCAGCTTTTGAGCCTTCAGCAGTCCGTTGTAATTCGCGCGCGTCTCATAGTAGGGCCTGCATTAACGAGCGATTATCAGCTAGATTAGTGGGCGTGGCATTGGCGGCAGGTGAGCAGCGCATACTCACGAGCACTGGATACAATACAAAGCGTGCAAAATGCTAAAGTATCTCAACAAAAGTAAATTGCGCCGCAGCTGCAATCTATGAAGAAGAAGAAGAAGAGAAAAAAAAGAAGAAACCAAAGAGAAGAGAACGAAATAGAACCGAAAGTACGACCAAAAACTAAAAATATAAAAAACAACAAAAAATCAACCAAGAGATGTTCTGGCAGAGTGGAAAACAAATCGAATCAGAATATGATCATATAGGGATTCAATTTATATATGAGATAGGCTTAGTATGTATACATACATATGTAAATAGAGTAAGTACAATAAGTAAGAAATCATATTGAAAAGCTCTTGCATCAAAAATAAGCTCCTGGATGTGTCCTAAAGATATACATATAGTATATATAAAGATATAATATATAATATATTGATATATTATATAATTCATATTCTTGTAAGCAAAAATTATAACAACTTTTTAAAGTTCCTAGATATCATCATATAATAAATATAAGTAGATGAAATATCACGTATATCATCTATATGTAATACAGCGAAAATCCTTTTTCAAATGTATTACATATAATACATACATTATAAAAATATACATGCACCATATTTTCAGATTATTCACATTGCAAAATTGTCTAAAATTTAAAACTACTTTTCAAATTCTTCTATAATATTATTAATATTAATATTATTAATTTTTAAAAATTTCGTCAAAAATCTCAAGAAAACATAAATTTTAACAAATGCAAATTAAATAATTCTGAAACCCGTTAAGACCCTATTGAAAACTAAATATTCACTCTGCCAGAACATCAAAACGAGAAATCAAATTGCAGTCCAATTAGATACCTGGAGGAGCGTAAAGCTTGCTTGAGCTGCCCTTGGAGCTTGTTTACGCGATTGTTGGCCACCTCGAGCTTCAGTTGGCACATCTTGAGGGCGTTGCGCGTATCCGTCACCTCCAATTGAGATTGATTGACCTTGCTGGCTGCATGGCTGAGCATCTCCTGGCAGGCGGTGTCCAGCGTCGACTTCTCGCCGAGACCCTGCTCGGCCAGATAGACCATCTCCTTGGCGGCAGCGTGTATGGACTTGGCCTTCTCATGATTGGCCGCCGCCAGCTGTGTCTCCTTGGCCAACTGGGCGGCATAGATGCGCGACTCGTAGTAGGGTTTGGCGGCGTCTATCGAGTTGCCCAGCTTGTGGGCGGCGGCCTTGATCCGCACGACGCTCTCCGCCAGCAG